AATCAATCCACAATTAAATTGCTGGTAATGTAGATGCTTTCCATACTTGAGATGTTAGTAAGTTTTTCCAACAATTTAATTTCCTTGATCGCCGTCTTAAAAATGCAAAATCATAAGTTGAAATTCCACTCGTGTTGTTTTTTCAAATTTTCGAATTTTTGTAAAATATCGCGTGCGCCAGCAATTTCTCTGCACAGCGACAACAAATTTCCCAGCTGTTCAGATTCAGTAAAATTTCCTTAAACATTTCGCATTGTTGGCGAACGAATAGTCCCGAGTTTAAAGAAATTCCTTAAAAGTGAGAGGCGCTGTCGATAAATTTCCATCCGTCAAAATCACCTGACGTCATTTTTGGCTCAAGTCCCAGGTCGAGTCCTATAAAGGTCGAGTCCTAGCTCGTATCCTGGCTTGTTAAATAGATTAGGTTCCCTCCCATTATAAAGGCAATCTCAACTGCAAAGTTTGCGAGAAATCTATTTGTTGATACTTTTTACTTAGACGCTAATAAGATTGAACTGCTATATACAGTATGAAAATGCACCTATATAAGCAAACAACATATTAATTCTTTTCGTAATTTTTAGGTGTAGAAAATTGGTTTAACCAGTTTCGAAAATCTAGTTATCCAGGCTCATAGATAACGGTAATATCGACAACAAAATTACCGAGTTTCTATTTTAGTGCCGATACCAATTGTATTATACGTCATGTTATTTATACTTAGATTTGAAACACTGATATATATATATATATATATATATATATATATATATATATATATATATATATATATATATATATATATATATATATATATATATATATATAATTCAATTTATTTTGGTTGTCTAGATATATAAAGTGCTCAATACTAAAAGTATAGCAGAGCTTATTAGATTGTCTATATCTTAAAATTAAATATCGCTACTCTGAGTTTCACGTCCTTTCTAGACGATCATCAGGCGATTTTGTACTGATCGTCTAGAAAGGACGTGAAACTCAGAGTAGCGATATTTAATTTTAAGATATAGACAATCTATATATATATATATATATATATATATATATATATATATATATATATATATATATATATATATATATATATATATATATATATATATATTTGTCTATCGTCACCGGTTTGTCTATGTCAACCTCCACGTCAGCGAGCGACCGTTGATATTGACGAATCAAACACTAACTGAATTAATTGCCTGAAGATCGTCTTGAATAAGGCGTGAAACTTGAGTAGCAATAATTAATTTTAAGATATAAATATATATATATATATATATATATATATATATATATATATATATATATATATATATATATATATATATATATATATATATATATATATATATATATATATATATATAAAGACAAAAACAACAAATTTCAATCTTAAAATTTTATCTCATCGCTACACAGTGTTTCACGTACAGCGTACGATCATCAAGCGATTGATGTTAATTATCTCGCAATAAATTACAACGGTTTACGCTGACGCGCTTAGATTGCTGACGCAAGCATTTAAATGATTGTGTTTACTTGCGCGCGCGTTTGAAATTTTTAATTTAATTTTTAATTTATTTTAATTTAATTTATCTAACTTTGCCTTGGTAACAATATTAAGAAGAAACATCAAATTACTATATATATAAACAAGGCAGGATTTCCGCCACAGCTACAGCCAATTACTGCGGATCCTTCTTCACAATATTCGTTAAATTAGTTAAGTTTACTGAACAGTAAACGGAAAAGGACTAGATAATAAAATCAATCAATCAATTAACGAACTGTTCAATTGACGTGTTCAATCAACCAACCAAGAGATCAAGCAATCAGACACTTACTTATAAAAATATATTTTACCATTGGTAAAAGCAAAACCTTTCCATACAATGTAATAGCACGGATATGAAAAAACTTTAAAAAAACACAGTGACTGAAATTTACACACAATCCAGTTTGAAAATAACCTGAAAGATGCCCGTCCACAGCCGCGATCTGGAATTACCTGGTATGGAATGGCCCTGGTTTTACCAAAATATAAATAATCAGTTGCGCGAGGTTCAAAAACAACAAGAAGGGGGAACCAACAAACTTCGAACACAGTTACATTTGACACAGGTTGTCTTCCATGTACGTGGGTCGTCAGGGTCGAAAGTTAAGGAAAGAGCGGAGTAGTAGTATTCTTTCAGAATATTCTTGAAAGTGGCAAGAGAAGATTTGTTGTGGTTTTGGGTTATTTCTTTCGGTAGTGCGTTCCATGTCCGTGTTGATCGTATTAAGTAAGATCTGCTGTACGTTGATGTTCTGTATGACTGTATCGTTGCTCTTTGAAGGTAGAACCAACCGCATTACGCGACAATCTTGTTGATCTCTCAGATTTCTTTGATTTCGGTAGGAAAGTATCGTTCACATGGATAAGATTGTTTATTAGTTTGAAGAAAAAGACCATGTCTAAGTACTCATGCCAGTAAGTTAATGGAATTAAGTTACATTGAATTAGTCTGTCTTTGTATGAGACGTCGGAGTTAAATGGCAGATGGAGAATATGTTTAGTTGCACGTCGCTGAACCCGTTCAATCTTTCTTATTTGCTCTACAGTTTGAGGCGCCCAGACTTGCGTCGCGTAACCAAGATGAGCACGTACAATTGTTAAATATATTGTTCGTCTTGTTGTGAGAGACTTTAAATTTTTTGTTGTTCTTTTCACGTACCCCAAGATCTGGGTTGCTTTTGTACTCTGCGATTCTACCTGCTTCTTCCACGATAGATCAGATCATCAGACGAGATCCATACTCCAAGGTCACGTTCTTGGAAACAGTGGTCGAGCTGCGTATTTCCCATGGAGTATGAGGCCATAATGGGCTTTTGTTTACGCGATATTGTCTGAACTTTACATTTAGACTGATTAAACATAAGATCAGAAGACGATGACCAGTTGTTTATATTAGTCAGATCTTCTTGTAGGAGAGAGCTGTCTGCTTCACACGATATGCATTGGAACAATTTGGTATCGTCTGCGAAGGTTGCAATTGTAGACGAGGATATCGCATCGGGTAGATCATTGATGTAAAGCAGAAACAGGATTGGACCCAAGATAGATCCTTGTGGTACTCCGGATGTCACGGGCGTCGACGTAGATGTTGATCCTAACGCTGTCACTTTTTGTCGACGATGGCGAAGATAGGACTGGAACCAAGAAAGCAAGCCACCGTTGAATCCAAAACTACGGAGTTTATCGATCATCTTCGTGTGATTCACTTTATCGAATGCCTTGGACATATCAAGATAAACGACATCTATCTGCTCTCCTTGATCAAGAAGTTTACCAATTGTATCTATAACTTGGATGAGTTGAGTAGTGCAGGATTTCCCAGGAGTAAAACCATGCTGACAGCGATTTATTATGTTCTGTAGATAGAACCTAAGGTGGTTTAATATGCATCGTTCCAACAATTTCGATACTATACATAAAACAGAAATAGGTCTGTAGTTTTCTACGCGATCCTTTTCTCCTTTTTAAATACAGGAACGACATTTGCAACCTTCCACTCATCGGGTACTACCCCAACTTGGAGAGATTTGTTAAACAGGCGAGTGAGCGACGGAGTAATTTGATTGGCTGTTACTTTCAGGATTCTACCAGGGATTTCATCTGGTCCTAATGCTTTATCTGGGTCGAGAGATTTTAGAGTTCTCAGAACATCACTTTCCGTTACTGATAATTGATCTATTGACTGCATAGGTGAACCAGAAGAAATAGTGTCATTTATATCTGTCGTAGTAGCGTTGTTAGATTGAAGATCTTCTTGTGGAGTGAATACTGAGGAGAAGTAGTTATTGAACATATTAGCGATAGTCGTCGGGTTGTTAGCGACTTTTGTGTCGTTTCCTATTGTCCACGATACAGATTGTGGGATAGTACTGGTTTTGGATTTTACTTTAAACAGATTCCAAAAGCGTTTCGGGTTTAGATACAAACTCTGGCCGAGGTTGGAGAAGTATCTCTCACGACTCTCTTTCAAGAGATTTTTAACTTTAGTTCTAAGTTTTTAAAATTTTCCATGCAAATAATCAGTGGGAGAATGAGAAAGTTGGCGTCTGACAGTTTCTTTTTTCTTTAATAAATGCAAGATTTCGCTGTTTAGCCAGGGAATGTTTCTGCTGCTTTTAACTTTCTTAGTTGGGATGTATTTCTTAACGGTAGTTAGAAACGCGTGTTTCCATGAATACCAATCTTTGTTTATGTCGTCGTTGTCCGATATCAAGTTACTCAAATTTAAAGACTCCAGAGCTGCACGAAGACCGTTAATATCTGCATGTTGATAATCGTAGACCATTCTGGTTGTTTTTGGTGGCCGGAAAGGACAAATTAATACCTCAAACGAAATGGCATTATGATCAGTGACTACTCCAGTCATCTCTGGTGAAAGGACTTCGCATATTTTAACTTGGTCGGGTATGCTTGTGATTAATAAATCAAGAATGTTATTTCCTCTTGTGGTATGCGTATTTATTTGAGAAAGAAAAAAGTCTTTAAGAATTTCAGAAAATTCACTTGTGGTTGCTTTAGTTGCCTCGTCACCAGAGTTCTGCCAATTAATGTCTGGTAAATTGAAATCACCCGCAATGATGACGTCATCATACTGATCACGAATCACGCTTAGAAAATATTTAAAATCTTTCAGCCAGTTATCATTTGAATTTGGAGGTCTGTAACATGAACATATTAATAAATGCGAGTTCGATTGCGTAGTAACGTCCACTGTAACAATTTCAATGTTGCAATTTATTTCAATCTCACGCACGTGTTTAAACGATTCACTTTTAATGGCCATTAACACTCCACCCCCTCTGCTTTCTCTGTCTTTACGAAATATTTCATAATCTGGACCAAGAATCTCGCAGTTTAATATATCCTTGTTCAACCACGTTTCATTAACA